GAAAGTGGTTTTGCCTCGCCTCATTAATTTTGCACCCTTTTCTCCTACTTCTATCTCTCTCCCACCAGTCATAAGATGGTCTACCGACGGTTTTGAGTCTGCGGGTTCGCACCTGTACTGATCCAATCCGTCACTTGAACCTTTTACTCACAACCACCAAAACAGTAGTCGAATCCGTGAATCAGTAATGCCAAATAGGTTGGCAGTGAAAGATTGAGTTCCTTCGAAAACAATAATACTGACACTGGTCGTTTCAGGTACAAACAACGTACTACTATGGTGTCATCAAAGTCCTTAATTAACATCTTCAGATTTCACCAATGGAAGATGGCGTCTCCAAAACATCTTCAATCTGGAAATTTTATACGCATTGCTTACTTCACCCTAAGTCGGGAGGAGGGCTCCAATTGTGACGTCCACTGATGTGCAATCAGTTAGAGGAGAAAGGCTGCCTCCTGACCCTCGAGCTATCTACGCACAAACTTAGGGTTTCTTATTTTCTTTCTTTACGGTTATGAATGAGAACGTGTGTGGCGTTTCTATTTCCTTATCCGAATTGTTCTGAAGTTTTGAAAACCTGGATGGTAGATAACCTCTTATCTCACAATTTTTGCCGTTGCAGATCATCATACAGCGGGTGAAATCAAGTCCACCGTTTCGTCCACTGATGGAGGTTTCGGAGGAGGCCGGACGTACGGCCGATCTTGTGGGCCTGATCCAGAGCGCCTGGGCCGAGGAGCCCTCTCTTCGACCCGACTTTACTACCATCAAGTTGTCTATGCGCAAGTTCAACGAGTCAGTCACATTCTTTTCTTTATTCTCTCATCGCCTTCACTATCTCATAGGGTTGAATAATTCAGGATTTAGCTAAACACTCCAAAAGTACTCACTTTGCTGCTTTGAGAATGTCTCAACTTCTCCTCCTCCCTTTTGATCATCGGAGCACTTTTTTGAAATTACGGACGAGTTACCTTAATTCAGCAAACACAACTCCTCGACTACCTTTGCCCATGACCGATAAACAAGGATTCTCCGTGGTTGACTTAATTAAATTTGGGATTAAAGTATCGTGAATGCATTGTGCTCTGGTCACGGTGTCAAGTGGCCACTGACAATAAAGCCAACTTTAGCGGCAGGAGGATTAAAATTACAGTATGGGCGTTGGTAGTAGTAGTGTTTTCTGTTGCTGGTTATGCTGTTGGGCGGCTGATTGTTAATTCTCAGTGTCCGCCACCATAGTGCCTCAGACGCAATCACACGCAGGAGAATGTAAGAGCAAGTGAGCGGACAATCTGCCAAGGATATTCTGTTGAATGTCCAACCTTCTGAGTGGCCCTACTGTTGGCATGGAGCCAGTGATTAGCAAAATCAGACTTTTTTAACACATGGAGAGCTGCTCGCAACTAAAGTTACCTTTGCTACCATCAATGCACTTCACTGGAACTTTCACGATGGCTGTTGCCTCCATGAAGATGGCTTGCAACTTCAGCGATAAGAAGTCATATTCTCGAGAGTTTAATGCAGCACAAAGCAAGGGAACATATTCATCCAATGTGCAAATTGACTGATTTGGTCATCATTTCATCTTGGTGAGGTCGTGTGCAGTAAACATTGGCTGGGTCAGAGTTTGAGAGCGATGCTTTCCTACTGTCAACGTCTTGATGCATAAATTCAATGATTCGGTCTTTCTCTATCTTGAACGATGGTTTAGGGCGAT